TGGTGGGCGGGCGGCCGCCTGGAGTGTCCCCCGTGCCGCCTGGAGTGTCCCCATGCCGCCTGGGGGTCCCCCGTGCCACCTGGGGGTCCCCCGCCCTGGTGCTTGGTCTCTGAGGGCGAGGGGTACTCACAGCAAACCCAGGTGGTGGGCTCCTTGCACCCGGGACCACCCCGCCACCCCCTTGAGCCGGTGGTAGCTCCATCGGTGCCCTCCGCCATGCCAGCAGGCCCGGGGGGGCCGCCCACCCCGTGCTGGAACCAGTGCTTTACTGCTCTCCTTGGGTCTGCTGCACATTTCCCAGCCCGGCAGGGAAGAGTTGCCCTGTGCCCGAGGGTGCCCGGCCCCGCTTGGTCCCTCCCCGTGCGGCAGCTTGCTGGTTGCCCACAGTACGGCACGGCTGCCCGGCGTGGGGCGACCTCCCCGCTCCCCCCTGTGTGCCGGGAGCTCTGTGCCCAGCTCCATGGGGAAGGATGCTGTGCCCCCCAAGCCCAGGGCATCCCCCCAGGTGCGGGCGCTCGGGGGCCGCGGGGGTGGCCGGTGCTGAATCCTGCTCCCCGTCTCTTGCAGAGCACATCCCTGCGGTCCCACAGGCTGGAGCTGTGGGGTCTGGTCGCCGCGGGGCTCCTGGGGCTCTGCAACTTGCTCTACCACGATGACCAGCTGTGGCCCCCAGTTTCCTCCCGCCTCGGGTTCCATCCATCACTGCCCCATGCGTGGCCAACGCCTCGGTGGTCAACATTCCTGACTTCGCCAGACTGCCCCACCACGTGCAGGACTTCATGCGGTACCAGCACTGCCGGTCATTCCCAGCACTGCTCAACCTCCCCAGCAAGTGCGGGGAGCCCGAGGGGTCCTCCAACGTCTTCCTCCTCTTGGCCATCAAGTCATCACCAGTGAGCTACGAGTGGTGGGAGGTGATCCGCAAGACCTGGGGGCAGGAGAAGTCCTTCAAAGGAGCCTTCATCCGCCAGGTCTTCCTCGTGGGGGTGTCCCCTGCTGCCCAGGATGCCAAGAAGCTCAACCAGCTGCTGCGGCTGGAGCACCTGGAGCACGGGGACGTGCTGCAGTGGGACTTCAAGGACACCTTCTTCAACCTGACGCTGAAGCAGGCGCTCTTCCACGCCTGGCTGGAGGAGCACTGCCCCGGCGTCCGCTTCATCTTCAATGGGGACGATGTCTTTGTCAACATGGACAATGTCATCCGCTTTGTGATGACCACCCAGGAGCAGCACCTCATGGTGCGGCACCTCTTCATTGACAACAGACCTGTCCGGTTCCAGCAGAGCAAGTACTTCGTGCCCACGCAGCTCCTGGCTGCCAACCGCTACCCACCCTGCTGCGGTGGCGGCGGGATGCTCATGTCCGGCTTCACCGCCCGCGTCACCTCCCGGGAATCGCAGGGCATCAGGCTCTTCCCCATTGACGACATCTACCTGGGCATGTGCTTGGAGAAGGTAGGGCTCCTGCCCGCTTCCCATGCCGGCATCTGAACTACGGGCGTGGGGGGGCCGGCCAACACCGACCCCTTCGGTCCTTGCTACTACCAGGAGCTGCTGCTGGTGCCCCGCTTCGTGCCCTGTGAGATCGCGGTGATGTGGCAGGCCATCCACGAGCCCCAGCTGCAATGCAGCAAGC